AAGCACATGAGGTTCATTAATGGCAAATATTTAAAAAAATATGTTCCTTCTTTATGGGAAAGTGAACAAATAAAAGCGTAATCAAATCGCGTTGAACGATCGTAGATAAAAAAGGGCTAGAGTGAAATACGTTCAAATAAATTCCTTTATTATCAAATACTCATTACAAAGTTGCAAGATATAAAATACTAAATGCTCTATAAGCTACAATTAAGAGCGAATTAATCTCCCAGTCGATCGCCAAGTAAGAGGGTGAGCTGGCCTTGATTGTCATCCTGATCACACTGCTACAAAGGCAAGTAGAAAGGCCGAAAAGCACTCTCAGCAAGCAGAAGGGAAGAGAACCACCCCCACCTCGCTTACCTAAATGCATCGCTGCAATAACGGGCAAGGAGACTGAGAAGCACTCTTAGCAAGCAAGGTAGCTTGACAGACATCCTCAAAAAATTGCCTTCCATCATTGAACTCCTTGTAAAGAACATAAAGACGAGGGGAAGAACTTTGCTGGCCAAAGAATATTTCCTATATCTCCCATACCAAAGGTGACATCAAAATAGGCGGCAAAATGGGCGGATCACACGATCCATTTCTGTGGAAGACGTAAATTTTGGATCGATTGTTGAGTGCCAAACGATGGCAACAAATTAGTTTTTTAAGAAAAGAATGGAAATGAAAATGAAAAGTGCGAAATATACGTGCATTTATAGGGGCGTGAAGGTGAAGAGACAGAATATGAACAGCCACATTCGTGCCTAGTAATTGGAGTCAAAGGGCCCAAAATTTTGGGAAAAGAGATAGAAATACCAAAAGAGAATGTACATAAATCTTATCATAAAGTAGTTAAATGCTTGGGAGGTCTGACGATTAAGGACAAACGTCAATAAATACATAAGAAGATAAATTAGTTGTTCATTAATGACAATGGCTGCTGCTACATCCAAAATTGGCAATGGCTATCAGTACGAGGTTACAAGAGGAAAGTTAATACGAAGTTACAAAAAGAAAAGTTAAGGTATTAGATGTCTTAATTACAATTCACCCCAAACCGAACGAATTCTTTCCCTAAGTCTCCCCCAATCCTCGCTCTGCTGAGAAGAAGTGATATTCAATTCAGCTACATAATCATCATCAACCTCCAGCTTCTTGTACTGCTCGACCAAAGACTTGATTCGCTCAATTCCTTGGGAAGCATTACGCTTTTTAGCAGCCATTCTCGCCTTGTAGTCATCCATCCTTGCTTGAAGCTCCTTCATCTGTGCTGCCAAACTTGTCATCAAAGAGTTTTCAATCATAACTTCGAAAGAGATTTCTTTCAATTCACCCTCAGCTTTGTTGATCTCACGAAGCAAAGACTCTCTTTCAGATACGGCGCGATGATATTGAGTACTCTTGGCCTTCAGTTTAACATTTTTGGCCAGCAAAGAGAGGATGTCAGAGTGGACAACTTTCAACATTGTTTTAAAATCAACAGAAATGTTGAGCGACGGAAGTGTCAGTGCTTGCGCCAACTTCGCACTCAAATGCTCAAGTTTATCCTTATGTTTGGCAGCACTAGCCTGACCGATGTCCATATCCATAAAAGATACATACTCAAATATCGACTGCTTGAGAAACTTCATGTCTTCCTCTGAAGAAGTAGAAGGACGACCGGTTGAAGCAGAGTAAGATGTCTTGACTTGCCCCCAGAAAGTGAACAAGTCCTAGATGGAATGCACAATCTCATCAGCATGCTGCAAAGAAAAATGCCAACATTGAAGGTTTTCACTACAATAAACAAAGTGAAAATAAAAGTAAAGAAAAAGGTTACCTCATCAGCAATCTTGGGGGTGGCATATTACCAGTTGGCTCCACCACCTGTGGCCCCACCACCAGGAGAGACTTCCCCTTGTCTGGGCGAGAAGACTCTGCCACAACGGGCAGACCCATGGGAGCCTCTGCATGATTAAAGAAGCAACAAATCAGAAACCAATAGCACAAGCAAAGGTAAAATATCAAAAATGTATTACCTTCTGGTTCGACGTTTGGGAGGTCGGTGCCTTGGGAAGAAGGTGGTTCGTCCATTGATTGTGATGAAGGTTCCGGGACTGAAGGTTTCTCTTTAAGCGTAGTCCCTTCATCAACTAGTTTGGACGAAGCAGCTCCAGCAGAGGATGATGGAGCAGGAGCTGCCAACACCAAAGCCTTCAAAGGAGAGGTTGAACTTTTCTGAGAAATTCAACAAAACCATTAGCACATAGAAAGGTACGCTTGTGAGTAAACAGAATTCAATTTAATTACCTTTCTCCTGACGATGAGAGGAGTATCATCATCATCATCCTCCAAAATGGGAGATGTTGAAGCTGGCCGTTTGCGGCTTGGGGCGCTCTTAGCTACAGTAGGTTTGGCAGGTAGAGAAGTAAAGGGACGAACAGATTGTTTAGCATGAGTGGGGGAGGAAGGATTCCTAATGGACACAGGGGTGACCAAAATAGGAGAAGTGGAAGGAATGTTCGGTTGATCCAGTGAATGGAAAGCTCGATTGGCATCAATTGCAAACAATCTACGCTTCACTGATAACCAGAGTTGTTCAAAAAGGGGGTGAATGGCACGGCTAGGATTGAAGGGAGTTAATGAAAAGTTAGTCGTCAAAAGAATATTACAAGCATCTATAGCTTGTGCCTCTACCTTATTAATAGTGTGAAAGAGGTCTATCAAATTTTTTGAATAACAAGGGGGAACAGGCCAAGTTTGGCCAAAACCAAGTTGGCGAGCAAAAAAATTGGGGAGCATATATTTCAACCTTAGCTTTGGTATTGGTTCCAGTTAAAATATCATGGAACAACTCCCTCCCAATCAAAAACTAAACCCAAACGAGTAGAGAGGAGCTCGCATTGTCCAGGGTGGATGGAGGTTGCACATAATCTGGAGTTAAATGAGCAGGAAAGGAAAAGAAAGAAAGAATTGAATTTAAAGTATAAAAGAATGAAAAAAGTCCCTTCTGGACATATTTACAGGGTTCAATGGGTCAATGGCTAGCCCATAGCAGCTAGCAGAACGAAGGAACATAGATAGAGCACCAAGTGATGGAAAATAGGCTCTCAACCACAGTTGAGCGAACCAAAGAGGCCCACTGCTAGTGGGAGATACACCATTCTTCAATTGAAATTGAAGAGAAGCCATGCCTCTATAGAGGGCAGCCACAAAGAAGGAACACAAATTCAAAGGCTTATCACGCGCCAATTCGTGCGCTATGGGTAAATAGCTCATAGAAGGCTTCAAACTGGGCACACACAAAATATATTTACAAAGCCATATCTGAAGAAAGGCCACACGCTCAGCATGGGAAGGCTCAGCGTTTGAATGATTATGACAGCTTTGCAAGCTTGAATAGGACTCGGTGAGTTTTTGTCAAATTTTGGGGCAACACCAGAAATCAAAATACCAGAAAAAATGGTGTCGCCCAAAGGTGGAAGGTTTATCAGGGCCCCAACATCCCTTAAAGTGATTGACATGGGACCAAGAGGGAAAACAAAAGTGTTATATTCAGAAGACCAAAAACTTAAAGCAATAGGGAAAAGTCTTGGGTCAAAAATTGGGGGTTGAAGAGAGATTTCTAATAAATCAGAATTCCTAGCACGATCAAAAATTGCCTTGGTAGGACCATGGACCACAAGGAGAGCATGCCACCTACGGAAAACGACATCAAATTCAGGCCAAGTGCGAATACCTTTTTCGCGAATAGGCCTCAGCAGCAAAGAGTTCAGGAATGGAGGGCCTTGAGTACAAGGAAACAGCTGGCCCACCGCCACTTGTTCGACGGCTTCGGCATTGGTGAATGAAGGACCCAGATAGAACTCATTAAGTTCGGCATTGGCTGGTGCAAGAAAGTTCGGATTTACATATGGTTGAGTAAGGATTTTCTAGAAATCGTCGAAGCTAAAAGAGTCGTCAGATTGGGTTTGGGAACGAAATACAATTTTGTTAAGGTTTGCTCGATAAACGTAGCAGAGAAGCAAGAAGATAAACAGTGGTATGGCGAGAAAGAAGCGCGAAATAATGATACATGAGTTAGTGGTACATCGAAATGGCGTGTTTTTGGGGTTTATAACGGTTTGTAGCGTCGCACTTTTTTAGGCTATGGAAGAAAATAATGATTGAAATTCGTGGAAATTTCAAATGTTGTTGGGAAACACAAAGTAAATATGACAAAGATTAATAATTGGTATTAATTCTGCCATATTGGAGGGTAATTGTTGACACACTAAAAATGTAGCTCAAATCAAATAGCCCAGGGAATGAAGCCCAATTGAGGAATCCTCAAATCAAATAGCCCAAAAAATGAAGCTCAACTGGGCAATTTAGGATAAAGGTCCAGCTAGAGTTATTAATGAATGTAGTGGAAGCCCACGAACATAGTAACATCATCGTCCAAACTTGCAAGACGCTCAAGATCTGAGCGAATGAAGTGCCTTACAGTCGCCCAGAGTTATGACCCTATTCTCGCCCAAACCTTCGAATCATCCAAAATCTTAGCAAACATAAGATGTTATGGTTATCCAGAAGTGCAGTTATTGAAGCAGTTATCGAGTAATCTTATCACGTTCCACGATTCAAGGAGTTCAGTTGAAGACGATTGAACGACAAAGAGTAGTGGCGACAGTTAGAAACGACAGTTCCACGACAAGTTAGCCACCATAAAGAAAGTGGGTGGTTATAAAGCAATCAAATAGTTTCTAAGTGGTTGATCACGAAGAAATCGTCAAGGGAATATAAAAGGAAGAGAAAACCTAGAGCAAAAGGACCCCCGAATCAAACACTCTCAAACAGAGAATATGTAATTTCAATTTCTTAGTTTAGATTTAAACATTTCTTTTTAGTACTTGTGTGCTTGCGCCTCTTGGAGGCATTCTGTTTAGTTTCAATTGTAAAGTCATCGCCAAATAAAACACCCTTTTTTGGGACTTTGTCTCAAGATGTTTGTTCTTTACACAATCGTCTTATTCCTTTTTAATTGTTAGCGACTACCCGCGCGAAACACTAACATATTCCGGGAAGTTAACTACTATTTCACTTCCCTTTAAGGCAAGAGCTGGCACGTCATAGGCTGCAGCTGCCATTTCCTGCTTAGGATCTGTGCCTAGCCATACACGAGTGGTCTTTAGTGGCTCACGAATCTCCGATACCCATTTCCCACTTCGGCTTCTTATTCCGTGGAATATTGGATGCTTTCCACTTGTGGGGCTTCTGGCAGAGGCAGAGGATTTAGTGGTGGTGAGTTTTTTAGCCTTTCTAATGTTAGATATCGACTGTATTGGCAGTGGAGGAAGACAGCGGCAGGGTGTTCGGCTAGCCTATGGTGGCGGGTATAGTTGAGTGATCATGATAGTATGATTATGTGGAGGTTCAGCCATGTTTAATGTATCATATATGTAGCTATCAATACGAGGTTAGATATGTTAAGGATTAGGAGAAGACAAAGTATGTGGGTCACTGAAAACTGAAAAGCTAAGCCGTGGAGAATCTATGGCCATATGTTAGGGTTCTCGTTTTAATTTGTAAATAGAATACACAGCAAGTCCTTGTTTGGTCTAAACTAATTCATCAGATTTTTAATAAATTTTGATAAAAGGGAAGAAATATATAATTAAATTAGTTGTAAATATCATAAAATATGATTAAAATTAATTTTTGACTTTTACTTGAAATTTTAATTCAAACCAAACGGGGCAAAATAAATTGATTGATTTTATTTTTTATTCACACATTACTTAAAAACTACAACTTGTACCCGTTTATGATCTATTATTCGTTTATGTTTATTTATAAATTAAATCGGTTATAAACACGTACTAAACATGCAAGAATATAGTATATATAATATAATATGTAGAACTGTAGATTTTGCATTTGGCCCCAATTATTTTAAATTTTAATAGGTGGGTTTTGTTTTCCCCCCCCCCCCCCCCTTCCCCCCCTTCCTATTCAAAGGAATTATTAGATTTGTACTGGATGCTATTAAAGAATAAAGGTGTATGTATGCAAGTACATGAGGTGAGAGCTTTCATGACTTTCGATGTCACCATCCTAATGGTTCCATTAACAATAGGGTTTTGCTGGAAAAACAGCCTATGGGCGGGTTTGGTCAGGGGGCTGTTGATAATTGCTTAATTCCTGATAATACAAAAAAATAAAATAATTATATAATCTATTCAATTGCTTGACTTTGGCACTGAAGCAGCAACAATGTCTTCCACCGCCCACTTATTGAAGACAAGAGATGGTTTAAAAGCCTTACAAATAATACTGTTCTCCATTGGTTGATTGCTCCACTTGTTGCACGATTTGGTCCCGTCTAATTAAGTCTTGAATGGACCACGAATGTTACAATCAGTAATAATCCCAAAATCCTTTTTACCCTTTTCCCCCCTTTTTATCTATAACTTGACAAAGAATTAAAAAAAAAAAAAGAAAAAGAAAAGAAAAGAGAGAGAAGATAATTTAATTCAACAATAATGAATTGATGCTTGAATGAAGCCATTCTTTTTAACAATTTTTTCATTTTCATTTTCATTTTCATTTTTTTTTTTTTTTGTGAGTTTGTAGAGTGTCCCTTGGCCCCTTAATCATGTTAGTTTATTATTCAAAAAATAAAAGTAAAAATAGATTCTAGAACAGCCTAACAATGGAAGCTCATATACATAGTCTGCACACTGATTTTATTTTTTGTCCGATGGCTGATTTTTATTAAGGGTTTGTCTGAGTACCTTCTTTTTAAAAAAAAAATAGATTTTGTACTAGTGATTTTTTTAGAGAATGTGTGTTTAAAATGCAATAATTTTTTATTTTTTTTGTATTTACATGTGAAATTATTTATTTAAAAAATGTATTGTTGAAAATGTGTTTGAAAAAAAGAGAGCATGTTCTCTTTGCTGTTTTTAGGTCATTTTCAGTTTTTAATTTTCGAAAACATTGAAGACACATTTACTTATGTATTTTCAGAAACAAATTTTCAAAAACAAGTGTAAAATTTATAAAGAAAATGGAAAAGGTCATTTTGGCTGTTTTCAGTTAAACCCAGGCAAATTAAAAAATGCGGAAAACAATTTTTAGAAAGTAAACGCGTTTGTCATTTTTTTTATTTTTTAATACAAGTTTTTAAAATGACAAAAAGAACGTGTTTTTAACAATCTCAAAATGGACACTTAAAACACAAAATTTAAAATGAATTCAAAACTCAAAACTAAAAACTAAGTTCTCTTTGTTGATTTCAGACCATTTTCAATTTTTAATTTTTGAAAACACTGAAAACACATTTACTTACCTATTTTCAGAAATGAATTTTCAAAAGCGCAAAAGCAAAACGGCCTTTTAATCGTTTTGGATTTTTTTAGTAGAAATCAAGCCAAAAACATCAAAATGCAGAAAACACAGTGTTTTTGCCAATAGCATGAGAGCTCGGTTGGTTGAGTCACGGATTTTCTTAAGGCCACGCGTTCAATTTCATTTCATCGCAATTTGATACAAATGAATTTTCTTTTTATATGCACAGTACAAGAAATTTTAATTAAATTCCACATTTTTTTGCCAATAGCCGAATAGCTCAGTTGGTAGAGTTGCGGATTTTGAGATGGTCATGAGTTCGATTCCACTAGCCTACTTTCAAAACAAAGGATTTTATTATTTTTTTTTTTTATATGCACAGTACAAAAATCTTTCAAATAAATTGGTAGGTGGCTGAGATTCAAACTCGGGTCACCAGCATGGAGTTTTAATATCTTAACCACTGTGGCGACCGGTTTTGCTTTGTTTTATAAGTAAATAAACTAGAAAGTAAACATGTTTTTCAATTTTTTTATTTTTGAAAACAATTTTTCAAAATGACAAAAAGAACGTATTTTCAACAATTTCAAAATGGACACCCAAAACAGAAAATCCAAAATGAATTCAAAACTGAATTACGAAGAGAACATGCCCTAAATTTTTCAAGAAAAATATCCCTTGATCATTCATGATCAATGTTCTGTTATGCGACGGCCTATTCTGCCCATACATTTTCAGCCTTTCGGTTCTTTTTCCTTGTTTTTGTTTTTGAAAAACAAATTGTCTAGCGTTTGAATATTGTATTTTTAATATTTGACCATGTTGGCATGACACAACTTGTATGACTTGTGAAGATCATAAATAATGAAAAAAATATACATATATTAATGACTTTAACAAAGAATTACATAATTCAATTGTAAATGATAAGATTGCAGCAAATAGTTCAATAGCAAATTAGACTCATGGGATATTCCCAATGTATTTAAATGTATAATTCCTAAAAAATGACAAAATAGTCAATGAAGATTAATTTATAATTCAAATTTTAATTGTGGTCATTATCTTTTTTTAATAGTTATTTAGATTTAGTGATTATCTAGATTTTTGTAACTATCTAGATTTTAGTTATTTCTTTAAACAAGGGTTGTAAATTATGAGTAAGTAGTTTTTAAATTGAAATAAAACATTTATTATTGAGATATTCTCTAATTTTTTAAATTCTCGATATTTGATATTTTAAAATCAACGAGCCAAATTCTCTATATTATTAATGTGCGAATCAAAAAGTTTTGTAATGCCTAGATTTCTAATATTCTTAGAAATTAATAGAAACTAGAGAATAATCATACTAGCATTTGTTTAAAAGGATTTTGCTACAGGTAAGCTTTACACTCCGGGTTATCCGTCCCTTACGTGGGAGTCGGATCCCACACATTTATTGGGCGTGGGACCCACCCCCCATTTGAGGGGCGGGTAACCCGAAGTGTAAAGCTCCGAGTACAAATGATAAAATCCTTGTTTGTAATCAATGGAACTTCGATAAGTGTTCTTTTCATTATTTCGTTTCCACCTATATCAATAACTAAATAAAGCTCACACCTTTGCACAAAAATATTCTTCTATTTGCCATCTCAATGTGCAATACAGATTTTGACTTTGCATCAGAAACCATCACCTAAACCGTAGGAAAAAAAGAAAAAAAGAAAAAAAAGAAACACAGCATTATGCCTCCAAAACATTCCCAAGGGATCCGATTTAAAGACACTAAAACTTTTAAGTTCATAATAGATTATCGGAAGAGCGTCCATAGAGCATGCTGCGCAGTGGCAAAAAGTGCGAAATCCATTGGATTTTCTCATTTAGAATACCTGAGAAGCCTCATATCTCGACAACCACCTCAACAAATTCTGCAACACTCTCTCCTTCACGTCAGTAGATAATTCCAATATAAATAATAAATTTAGTTCGTACCTTGAAAATTCCTATAAATTAAATAATGAATCATTAAGAGCATTTTCAAAAAATTCTTTAAACATGATATGCTCTTTATTTTAAAGAGTCAGTCAACCCATAAAATTATGCATAAAGAGACTTTTTAAATTAACATTTTAATTTAGAGAGTGCCCACTCTCCATAAGTAAATGCATTTAAAATGTTTCAATTTTCAATATGGGAATATAATAAAATAATATAAAGAAAAACTAGTTAAAATAAAAAATAGAAGAAAATAATAAATATTTTTTGTCAGTAATAAAATTAAATGTTAAATATAAAGAGTTTGTTAAGATATTTCAAAATTTAACTTTCTAAATTTATAAATGTTTTTCAAATGATAGAATATATTATTTAAAAATATAGAGTCTCTTGGATATACTTTAACTCATCATCACAGTTCTCAACGCATTCGATAATTAAACAATCATTATAACAAATGAATAAAATTAGTTTTTCTTTTTGCCTCGTCTAACAGGAGAGGATGGATGGAAGTTAGAAGTGTGGATAGGGAGGTGGAACAGCAGCGGAAGGAGGCAGAGGGCCTGAGGCCGACGTGCCATTGCTGGTGGTAGGGGTGTATTCCAATACCAAAGCCATCATGGCGATTTGAGGAGACTGGAACAAAGTCGTGAGTGAAATTGCAGATGATAGATTACCATTTTTCTCAAGACCATGGGTTATTTGAATGGGTTGAATTTGTCGTCGGAGTGGGGGATTGGATTGTTTTTATTTTCCGTGTTTTCAGTGAAAAAGCTTGAAACCTAACACATATGCTTTGAGTTTTATGCTATAACTATGTGATTTTATTTTCGAAAAGGTATTTTCAAAAATATCAAGTCAAACAAGTTTTTGGTATTTTACAAAATTAAAAACAACTTGGAAACCGTAAACCAAATACCCTCTTTTTTTTTTTTTTTTTTTTTTTTGGGGCTTATTTTTTGTTGGTCTGTTTCAGCAGCATTAATGAAATTCAACCAACCCACTGTAGAAATATAAAATTGTAGCCTTGTGGAGCCAATAGTTGACAAATCATTTTCAAGAGGAAAGGGGGAGGGGGGGGGGGGGGGGGGGGGGGGGCTGGGCTGTAGCCCCTCCACACTCAGGCCCAAGAACTTTTGTTCAAAGGTATTTTTTATTTTTTTGGGTAAAAAATCAGTTTTTTTTGTGTAAATTTTTTTTTCCACGTAGCAGCTCGATTTGAAATTTTATAGCCCGGTCTTGGATCCAATCCTGGATTCGTCCCTGCTATTATAGAAATAAAGGTGGACGTATACAAGAGTACGTAAAGAGTTTTCATGACTTTCCATGTCTCCAACCTAATTGTTTTCATTAATAATTAATATCTCTACCTAAAATAGGAGCATTTCGTGATCAAGTATTAATTCATTGGCAACTAGGATTATCACAAGAGAATCAACCATGATGAATATAAAATTAGTGTCTCATTAAGAACGTTAGGATTGAAAACTTATGTACTATATATGAATGGACCACACGAAATTTCGTAGTCTCCAGATAATCGTTCCCTTTAGTCCCCACTCTCCTATTTTTCAGAAGGAAAAAATTAAAGGTAAAGAGCAAAACTTATTCACTGATAATTGCTCAATTCCAAATAATATATAAACTAAAATGATTAATAAGCTACTAAATTGGCTTAACTTTGGCATTGAGGCAGCTACAATGGTTTTAACCGGCGAATTTTTTTAAAGAAAAAGACGGCTCGAGCTCCCTATTTGACATCCTTTACTTTTAATTTATTTCTCATTCTCATTTTCAACTACATATTCATACGATAAAATATTTTACACATAAACGCAAAACTTTTTCTTACTTTTTAATCACGCATTCTCTAAAAAATACTATTTAGAACTATGTTATTAAAATTTTAAGGATGCATCATGCATTTCAAATAGGGCTATATATGAATTTGCTAAGTAAGTGTCAAGTACAATAACTTTGGTTGAGTGAAAAGGCAGAAGACTGAGGTGTACCTTTCAGCACCTCACTCTCCACCCTCACAATAGGATTAGGACCTCATCCACCATGTGAACCCCTTAAAAACTGGCCAGAACAAAGAGCTGTTGCGTTCGGATATCGCATTTCCATGGAATATATGTTTAGGGTTCATAAGCCGTTGAATTTGATATGGGGCTGAAAGAGAAAATATTATTTAGGGTTGGGCGATTTGTTATGGAGAGGGATTCATCAAGGTGAATTTTAATGTTCCCATAAATTAAATGTTATTTCAAATGTGTGATATTGTCAAGCTAGAAGCGCGTAACACTATTTTTGTGCAATTACATAAACAAGAGCATAAAGATTGTTGTATAATGTCAAATATTTGTGGAATTTACTTTCAACAAGAAATCCGTACAAGAGATTAATCAGCAATCTTGTAAATGACTTCGAGCAATTAATTCTCTGCAATATGCATGCCTAGTTAATTTCAAGAAAATATTCAAAAGCTTGTTATTAATAGCTCCACAGACTTTCAGTATCGGAATTTCCCGGCGTGTCACTCAACGGCGGTGGCGACGTCATTCTTGGTGGGCTAACCAGCATTCCCTTTGCCATTTCCAACAGTAGATTAGGCATTTCAAACAGTGCCTCCTCATCTACAAAATCATGTCCATTATTCACAGTTAATTCATTTACTGAATCATCGTTCGTGGGCTGTCCAGAGACAGCCTCTGCGCCACTCTCCAACTTCATCAACGCCGCCGCGCTGGCGGCTGCTCTTTGAATATCTGGCGCGGAAGGTGAAAGTGGCACCGGATAATAGCTAACATATTCCGGAAAGTTAACTGCTGTTTCACTGCCTTTTAAGGCAAGAGCTGCCACGTCATAGGCTGCAGCTGCCATTTCCGGCGTAGGATGTGTGCCTAGCCATATACGAGTAGTCTTTAGTGGCTCACGAATCTCCGATACCCATTTGCCACTTCGGCTCCTTATTCCGCGGTAAATTGGGTGTTTTCCACTGGTGGGTCGTCTGCCGGAGGACGAGGAGCTAGTGGTGGTGAGTTTTTGAGTCTTTCTAATGTTAGATATCATATGCGGCGGTGTTGGCGGAGGAAGAGAGCTAGGATGTGGTGGCGGGTTTAGTTGACTGATCATGGTTGCACGATGATGTCGATGCTCAGCCATATCATGTATGCAGCTATCAGTACGAGGTTGAATATTTTAGGATTGGAAAGAGAGAATTTTTGGTTTATAACGATAAAGTATGCGTGTCAATAAAAAAGCCAAGCGGTGGTTTTGTTTCAAGCGATAGACGTAAGAACAATTCCTGTACGTATTGCTTCAATTTTTGTTTTTATTTTATTTTTTTTTCGGTTGGTAGAAATACTCTTTCTTGTAGAGTAATTTTTTGAGGATGTCATTTTGAATCGATTTTCTATAAATGCTCTTCAAATTTGATATTCCACTTGACTTTTCACTTCAATGTCTACATATTTGCTATCCTAATTTAATCATCTCGTTGAGTACTCCATTGCTAAAATTTTGACACAGCACTATAATTTTGAGATGTCAAGAATATAAAAGACATAAAACTAATTTTTGTTTTTTCACATGATGAACTATGTTCACTATAAATTTGACCCATTTAAATAATAATTAGGTGCCAAAATTTTAATGGTTGAATACATTATATTCTCAAAGGGAGAGATATGTAGTTAGTTGTTTTTGTAGTATTCTTTTCTTTTTTCTTTACAATGATTGATACCCATTCTGTTGAGGTATTTTTGTAAATAAATTTATAGAATTGCAAATTTTAACTTTTTTTTTTTTTTTTTTTTTTCCCATCCAAGAAATATACCGTAACCATTTGTAAATCTTCAGTCATCAGGACAACTTCCCCAATCACTGTCACTGAAGCAATGAATTTGAAAATCTGAATTTTTGGTGATGAATAATCCAAGTTGAGCAGTATGTTGAAGATATCGCAGTAGGCATTTAATAGCCTTCCAATGGTCATCTATTGGTGAGTTCATGTAGTGACAGAATTTATTTACTGTGAAGGAGATGTCTAGTCTAGTCAAGGCTACATATTGTAATGCCCCAATGTCATGACGATATATCACTATTTTGTAACAAGTGCCAACCGATTTTGAGAGAGAATGAGGGATAGAAATTGGTTTTGAACAAGGCTTACTCTTAGACATACGAGTACATTCCAACAAATCTGTGATATATTTTTGCTTGAGATAATAAAATGCCATGTATAAGATAATTGACTTCCATCCCCAAGAAATAATTAGGCCGGCCGAAATCTCTCAATCAAAATTCTGATTGAAGCCGTTGTATAAGATTAGTAATGAGGGAAGAAGAACCAGATGATGATAAACTTCAACATAAACCATTATAAAAATACGATGAACACCCCTTTGCACAATGAATAATGAAGTGTCGGCTCTAGAATGAATAAAACCAAGCGTGCATAAAAAACAGCTAAGACGTGAATACCATGCCTATGGGGCTTGCTAGAGACCATATAGAGACTTGTGAAGCTTACATACGTGATCAGGTTTAGAAGAATCAATGAATACGGTTGGTTGCTTCATATAAATTTCATTCTCAAGTGAACCATGAAGGAAGGTATTTGATATGTCATTTTGATGCATAGACCAATGGTGAATAGTAGCAAGAGACAGGACAGTGCGAATGGTAGTTCCCTTAACAACAGAGCTGAAGTTTTCTTGATAATCAAAATCAGCTTTTTGAGAGAACCCTTTTGCAAATATTGTGGACCAAAATAATTTTTAAATGGAAAAACGTTTTCATTGAACTTGATGTGTCTAGCAATGTAGATTTCATTGCTTTCCAAATCAAGACATCGAAATCCTTTGTGATTAGGAGACTCACCTAAGAACAAGCAAACTTTGCAACGGAAAGAAAATTTTTGTTTAATATAAGATCTTAATAAAGGAAAAATTGCAAAACCAAATCTTTTAAAATTAGAATAGTTTGGTAAGACATGAAATAATTTTTGGAATGGGCACAAATTTTACAGAACTGGTGTAGGTAAAATATTTATTAAAGTTGTGTCTGAATTGAAAGCATATAGCCAATATTTAAGATGTGTGTGCTAAAAGAGAGAGCCAGTTTCAACAATATGCTGAATTTTTCTTTCAGCAATACTTTTTGTTCATAGGTATATGGACTAGCAAGATGGTGTCTAATGCCATGTTGGGCGAAAAATTTATTTAATTTTTGATATTCACCTCTTTAATCAGAATGAAAAACATGAATTTTAGTTTGAAATTGATGTTCAACAAAAGATTGAAAATTAAGCAAAATAGAAAACAAATCACTTTTATTTTTAAGGAAATAAATCCAAGTATAATGCATAAAATCATCAACAAAGATAACAAAGTATCTGTGACTAACCGGACCTCGAACATCAAAGTGGACAATGTCAAATGGCACCTTATTTTATGTACTACAGAAGCTAGTAAAATTTTAGATAACTTGCCAAAAGGACACGCTAAACAAGAAGGCGATTTAAAACTTCTAGAACTCAACAAATTATTGGATTTTAAAATGGAGGAAACTGTGTGGTGATAAGGATTGCCCAATCTTTGATGCCAAGTTGAAAGCCGAACAAATTCAGCCACATTAACTTCTTTCCTTGGTGGCAGAAAAATATTCGTGCCATGTTCGCTCGATCCTCTTGAGTACTTTTTTTCCTTGATCTCCTGGTCCTTAACAAAAAAATGAGTAGGCCAAAAAAATAAATAAATAAAAAATAAAAAAACTAAAAAATAAATAATAAATATAAAAAGCGTTTGTTATTAGTAGTGAATTTTTGAACTGAGAAAGAAGAGATATTTGAATTTTAGGAACATGAAGAAGATCGGTTAAAATAAAATTGCAATTTGTAGAACAATAGGTGGTAATACCTGTATAAACTATTGGCAATCCTTGTCTGTTTGCAACTCACAATTGATCAAGACCCTTGAAATCATCAGCAGCACTCAAATTTTCTATATCTGGAGTAACATGATGCATTGCCCCGGTGTTTGGTGTCCAAGAAAAAAATTGAGTACTTTGACAGAATTGATTGTTTGACACCAACGGGAAAGAGGATGCTGTCCAAATCATGTGTGCCTGAAGAGCCTGGAGTGATGAATTCTGTCTTGGAATATAGCGGAGTCAACACTTATCTGCTATGTGATTCTTGAACCCACAAATTTGACATGTAACTTTGCCACACCGTGGGAATGAAGGCCGAAAAGAAGGACCCGATATGGGGTTTGGCAAAGAAGATGATGACTTTGTTGGAATAATTCCATATGTGGGCTTCACATTCGATTGCAAATTTTACGGGTTAAATGTATGACTCATAATGATATTTGTATTTGAGTCAAATTTATTAAGTGATCAATTGGGCCTTTTACACCTTACATGTTGTAATTAATATGATGTGGTAATTTTAAGTATGTGGGCCAGAAATAAACCCTAATTAGAATTCTAGTCGTAATGGGACGGCTCAATTATTTCCTATATAAAGGTTAGGTTCCCTCTCCTTTCCATATGGTTTTATTGGCTTGCCCCATTGATGGCCAATACTTTTGTGAGGAGCAAGGAGGGGAAGATCTAGTTGGTATTACAATTACAACTATTATTCATATCAACAATGACTTCCGCAGGTATAAATTCGATTTATCAATTTATGATTTTGTGATTCTTGATTCTTAGCATGATTACAATTAAATTCAACAATTGGCTTCAAAGCCTAATGCTAAGATCAGAATCCTTCGTAACCATAATATTCTTTCTTGAATTCTGATTGAATAGTTTTGAAGTTCCTACACCCCGTTTTTGGATTTATTAAATTTTCAAAGTTTTGAAGGTCAACTTTGCATTAATGTTCTGTGTGTATATATATTCATTATATATAAACAATTTGTTCAAAATTTCCATCCCCAATCCGTTTCTCTGTTAACTTTGCTGTCTCCTGCAACCGCAATCTCCACTAGATCTGTAATTTTAAGAAGGGACCAAATATATATCTTACTTATAATTAACTAGAAGAATTACAAAAGAATTTGCACACCAACACAAGAGGGGTATTTTTTTTCTAACAGAAGTTTTTTTTTTTTTTTTTAAGATACAAGTTCACTTCATGATTTAATTACCTTAAAATAGTTGTTTGTGGAGTTCTTGCCTCACCAAGATCATATCAGGTTTTCCAGTCGGCATGGTCTTGTAAACCGCCATTGATTCATTGCTTGATTCGGTCTAAATTCACACATTCACACTTTTCAGTGGTGTAGTCGCCAATGAAAATTCGCTGGCACCCCTAAGAAAAATAAAATAAAATTTCCTGATTCCTGTCGGGTTTAGAGATAGGTGGAGATGGGGGCTCCTGTTGTAAATAGCTAACCTTCAAGACCTTGTGTGCAATTAAGTGATTGAGAGACACATTGCATTTTTTAAAACATGGGCCTATTTGTAAATTGAGAAACTGGAGGACCCGGTTTTAATTTTAACTAGGGTCAAGGTGCAATTTTTGAAAAGGGATTAAATTTGAATTTTGAAATTGGATTTAAAAGCTTTGTATCTCAAATTTCAATTTTGACCCAATTTAATTTTTTTTTGACCCGTTTAAAATTATATCAAATAAATAAATAATTGATTGACGACTTTTATATTTTTCGTTAAAATGTTTATGTGCATAAGTATTGCCATTATTTATGCGTTAAAATTTCATTTTTTTATTTAAATTTTGTTGCCAATTTCGTCTCTCAATCACATAAGAATTTTTGCCTTTCATTGATTGACAATTATGATTTGTTACATAATTATCAAGACGATTCTTATTTTCCACTGAAAGAGAAATATTTTGAAATAAAAATGGGTGGTAGCTACCGAAGTGCACACTCATTATTATTTATTCGATTTTCTCGACAACAAAAGATATAAATATTTTGCACAACAATTTTGATTTATTGCATATAATATCTTGCCCAAAGGTGTTATTATATGTAATATTTTTGAAAAATGGCATGAGAAAGTTAACGAGCTTATTTTGGTTCAAAAATTTCCTTCTGCCCAAAGGTGTTGGAATTTTGAAAACCAATGAGATTTTGTTGACTAGCTGCATGATGTGTTTTAAGAGTACCTTATAGCATGTTATATTGTCAGCCCAAAGGCGACTTTATGATGATGCATTTAGGCTCTTACCGTAATAAAATTCATGTTTTTGATTTAATTACAGATTATCTAATTTATAGTCTTGTTAATTAGATGGATATTTTATCATCTATTTGACTGCATGCATTATGTTTGGATGATATTGAATATGATATTTTATGTTTCCACATTTTATAATGTCTCATTTCTTTTGAGTCAATTGTCTGTCGTTGAAACTTTGACTGGAAATAATTATATGAGATAGAAATGAGATGAAGAGATAGCACTTGGTCTTTTAGACTTGGATTTTCTAATGGAGAAAAAGCTTGAGAAACTCATAGATAAGTGCACTGTTGAATATGTAGTCGAGTATGAAAAGGTCTTAGCATGTAAGCTCTGATACTAATTGTTGAATTTTAACGATAATCATGCTAAGAAGCAAAAATCACAAAATAATAAATTAATACTTTAAATTCATACATGCAGAGGACATTGCGGATATGAATATTAGTAGTTAGATCTTCCCTCCTTGCTCCTCACAAAAATATTAGCTGTCAAATTGAGCAAGTCAATAAACTTTATATAAAAATTTATTAAGCCGTCCCAATAACAACTTAAACCCTAATTAGGCTTTGTATATATTTCCGACTCATATACCTAAAATTATCACATTATATAAAATATAACCTGTAATGTGTAAAACGATCCAATGGATCACTTAATATATTGGATTTAATCATAGTATCATTATAAGACATACATATAACCCGTAAAATTTGTAATCAAATGAGAAACCCATATTTATAATTATTCTAACATAATATTCCTTTTAGACACTCCCAACTCTTTAATGGAACGTAGAAAACAAGAAAAAACAAAAGAAAGGCTCGAAAGAATCCGAGGTGTTGATAATGTTACGACGAATCAAATGGTTTGGTTAATTCTTCGACGAAGATAAAGCGCTTTTGGGAAAAACTTCACTTCAAAAAACACACACCTCAATTGGTATTTGTCATTTATATTCCCTTCAATGCAACGGTTTCAATCGAAGACATCGGTTTTGACTTTTGAGAATAATGCTTCCTCAATATCCTCTACAATTACCGGTTTTCTTGCTTTTGTTGAGTTTTTTTTTCCTTCGTTATGATTTTTCGGTTAAGTTTGATGTTATAAACAATGTTCTCTTTATCCCAAATAGTCTCTAATACATACATCTTTCCATTATTTTGCTATATATTACAGTGTACCGAACAACATTACAAGGCTTATAAATTAAGCAATGTATTTATGCATTTTAAAAGACACAAGTAAATTAATATATACAAACAATAAAAAATTAGTACATATTATCTTGTGAAAATTTCGCCATAATCTATTTTTAGCCTAGAGAATATATATATTTTTTAATATAATAAGCTATAGTGAGGCATATAATCAATTTTTTGATCGCTTTGATATTATAATGAATTTTGTAATGTAAATTTTAATTTTTTAAATGAGATAATTAACGTTATTGTCCTGTTTTCGGAGGCAAACCTAAAGCTTGGTAGACGAGAATTAAAGTAAAAAGGGGGGATGAATAATGGTAAAATTGAAAACAAATGGAGTTCCGAAATCTATTCACAAAAAAGTGACAAAGAGCTAGCAAAAGATATTACTGATAATTTGCATTTCGTTGAGAATAAAATGCTTGTCAACTAGTCAAAATTCACTTTGAGATCAACTCCTTGACAGTTGGAATAAACATATTAAGATTGTGTACGTTTTGACCACAGTGAAGTGTTGTAGTACATAGTTGTTTTTTCCTTATAAAATAGTATATAAATTATGAGATTATTAGTTTACGGGACGAGCACGACTGAAGTGGCTATACATACAAAACTATTTACGGATCTATATGCTTCGATTGGAACTAGAAGTTCCAAAAGAGGCAGCAGGTATACCACGTTGTCTATTAATAGAGGTCGGTGCCAGTGGAAGAATGGAATCAATTGAGCTGCTCCTTCTGCTTGTCGTTCGAGTGCTAGAAAAAAAATATAGCTGCTACTTCCATAAAGCTCTTCTGATTCCAGAATCTACTTCGTTTCTCTCCCTTGATAGTTGTCCTACATACACGTGACACATGAAATAACATTTAGTGGCATTTAATTGTTGACATGTAGGGTTTTATGTTAATTTTGTAACTGAATGATGAATGTTCTAAAATTTTAGTGACTAATAGAGTAAGAAAATTACTTTAATAACTATTTTTAGAATTTCTTACAAACTTCAAATACCACCGGCCAAACCTTTAGAAACTTTAGGGACTGGCAGAGTGAGAAAATTACTTCAATGACTATTTTGAAACTTCTAACAAACTTCAATTACCATTAGTGAAAATTAGTTCATATTAAAACACAATATAGAAATTTTGAATTCTTTAAGTACTAGGAGATTGTATTAAGGAAAATGCAAGTTGTACATCATCATTTACATAATCTTTTACAGATTGATGAGGTATCATAAAGAAAATGAAGTTTATATTTTTTATTTGATTGATGAGATTTTGACCTAATTAATTCTCGTCATCATCTATTGATAAATAAATATGTAAATTGTGATGTACATAAAATACAATCATTGTATTAAAGCACATGCATGGAAATTGAGATCTACCTAAGTACGAGATACTTGAAAAAAAAGGATCACATGGATATGTAAGTCGAAGAGCTCGGCCCATTTTTGAGGTGACCCGATCTGACCTGGCCCAATTTTGAGGTAAACGAACGTGGGATGATTAATTAACTTATCCTCGTCTAGCCTGCATTAATCTGCTCCAAATGTGGCAGGTAATCCACACCGTCAGGTAATCAAGATAGGCACAGGAAACATGGTCCTTACCGTGAATTGTTTTACTTTATTTCATATTTTAAACTTAAATTCTATTTAAAGAATAATAAATAATTAATTAAATGATACACTAAATAAAAACATTTTAATCGTTGCCCTTCTCCACTCTCACCTTGCTTTGCATCGTCTTCCAAAAATTCCCAACATGAAAGGGATAGGGAGGACAGTCTTGGCCCGTGCCCATTACCATCCCTAGAGCCAAACCAATATGCAAACTATTTATCTCGATATGTTCCTCTTATTTATCATGATGCGTTCCTCGAGTGATTGTATAGATACACTTTTACAAAAGCATGTTTAACTTCTTCAAGAAATGTCTACAAAGCGAACTTGTATTTGCTGTGAATCTATTGTTAGGGAATACATCGATTATATGCATATTATATTTACAAAAAAATATATCGTTTATGTTCACGAAATTGAAACAAGGTTTTGACTTACCGAAATGGAGTTTGAGAAACTAACCAATTATTATCGAATCTGACCATTTCCATTCTTGAATTAAAACATGTAATTCTTCATATCGAACCTTGCATAAACCATATAAATAAAATTAATCATTTTCTAAAATCAAGTAGAAATGAAATTAGAAATAAGAAAAAATTAGATGCAAGTGATGCGATTGGTCGAGGTGAGTATAACTCTTTCCTTAAGATGAATTTGCCTCGCATCGGTGCTAATGGTTTTTCGACAATCATTTCCAACGAACTCGAACGGAATTTCCTCTCTATCAAGGAAATGCATGAAGATACTATGTAATTAGAAAGGAAAGAATTGCAAGAGGAGAATGAATGCTCAATGCAATTGGTGTACCCAAAATCATGTCCATAGGGTCTTATTTATAGATGTAGAAATGGTGCAAATGAAGTAGTGTGGATCAAAATATGCATTCTTTCCAAATGTTGCAACACTTGGCCAAAACTTGCATCATTTCGAGAAGTTGCAACACTTCATTTCTTCCAATTTTGGTTTGCAATTTCTCATTTATCCGGAATTGGTTTCAAGATTTTAAATATACCACGACGATCTACTCAACGAATAGAATAAGTTGGTTTATTTGCTTTTGTATTTTGACAATCGGATCAAATCCGAATATTTGGTCGAAATTGACAGTAATCATACCTTTTCATTTTCCACTTTTACATTTAACCAATTTTCGGTTAATTTTTGAACAAATTCCAACATCTATTAATTATGAGACAAAAATGTTTGAATAAGACGCAAGCCATATTTTATGTTAAAAGTCCTTTTATAATGCAAAATAAATAAATAAAATTTGTCTAACACGAACAAATAAAATTCAAAACACACACACACGACATTCGACTAAAATGCATTAAAAATAGACATTTGTCTAAGGTATTTTGAATAGATTATGATACAACCCATGCTTTATATTACGACCACATAAATCGCATATATAATCCCTGGTAAGTATCCCAATATTGTCAGCAACAAGTCGATCCAAAATTCCACCTTCAAGTCCCAAAGAAATCAATATTATTCAATTGTACCCTTACAAATTACTTTAAATCAATATAAAATGAAATATATCATAAATAGTCTTCAAACCTAATCACCATATATCGAGTATACATAAAAAGAAAAACACGTTTGCAAAAGATGTAATTTTATTAAATAATAATTAATTTGTTTACCACACAAAATATTATTTAACTTGGCATTTAGTAATCACTATAATATACAATATTTTAACTCTTATTTTGATTTAACATTATCAAAAGTATCTAATCTAAATTATAAGACTAAAATGAATTGATAACGATAATATAAATGTGAAAGTGCAAACAAAATATCTAATCTCGGTCAATTATAACGTAGTAAAAATTATTAATATAGCAAAAATTAAATTTCCAATAAATCAAACAAAACAAATTAAATATATATTGACATAGGAAATAGTTAAAACAAGAATTGATCGACATTCATAAAGGCATGCATGCTTGGAATAGTTCTTACTAGTCTAACAATAATGGGCAATTCTACGTGTGTATAACTGTTTATACACGGCCATGGAGGGAAGTGTAAGGTTGTATGTACATCTTAAGGTGTACACATAGCATTATTCAAGAATAATATGTTGTGCATCTACAAAAGTATAAATATAATTGTAATAGATTTAATTTTGTTAAATTTTTTTGTCGAGTAGCGAAAAATAAGTATAAATTTAAAAAGAAGGAAAGAATTACTCCGCAGCCACAAAGAAGGAAGGCTCCTACAGTTGTTATGAATATTGCCAATATCACTTCAAGTAATGTTGCTGCACCCATATCACAGATTGATCAATTATTGCATGAAATGATAACTTTAACGATAAAATATAGAGGATAGGGTGGGGTGGGGTAGGGTGGGGTAGGGACGTATTAGCTATTAAAGAGTGGTAATTGCGCACGTGTGAAGATGCAGAAAGAGTACTATGTCTATGCTTCTCTCTTATGACTCAGATTCACAACTTCCCTAATCTTCGTTGTCTCCATTTATATTTCGATATTAATTAAGTTAATTATTGTGAATGCACAAGAATTTTAGACCCCGTTTGGTATCCATTTTCATAAAAATGAGAATGAAAAATATAGTCGTTACGAAATTCACACAAGAGATAGAAAGTCAAATATGATGATTTGATGTGATGGATAATATCATATTTTTTCATTTTTGTGACTAAAAAATGGGAATCAAATGGGACTTAATTTCAAAACAAACTTTTACTAGATAAGTACAGGTGGTTAAATAAGGGACGGATTCAGAAGTATAATTCAATGGAAGCAAAATTTAACTCAGAAACAAGAACCTTAAGACTGGGTAATAACAGATATTTAATCAAGAGATAATACAAGCTTAAAAATAAGTAGTTTTTTTTTTTTTTTTTTTTTTTTTTTTGGTTTTTTTTTGGTCTCTCCATGTTTATATGTATATTTTTTAAGGACATTTATCTTGTACAAAAAAAATCTTAGAATGTATTTTTAAGGCTTCCCCTTCCCACAAAAGTATATATAAAAGCTTTTATTTCCTCTCAAAAATATCAAGTCAATCTTTATAATGCATTTTTTAACATATATACATAAAAAAAACTTTTTAAAAAAGGAGTTCAAATCAAATAATCTTGTCACTGTAGAAGAAGCGCAAGAAAACAAAGAAAGAAAGAATGTTTATTTACGTGTGTTTTTATATGTGCATTTTTTTTGGAAAATTTATCTGATTTTTTTTTTAAATGTGTTTTTAGGATATCCCTTTGTGCAAAAGAACATTTTTAACCATTAGTTCCTCTAAAAAATTAATGTCATACTCTGAATGTATTTCTTTTCATACATACATATAACAACTTTAAAATACAGAATTTCATATAAAAAAAAACTTCTTCTGTTGAAGAAGTAAAAGAAAACTAAGAAAGGAAGAAGTTTTTTTTAGTGTGTGTATAATATGTATATTTTTGAAGGAAATTCATCCAGAACCAAAAAATTCTTAGAATTTATTTTTAAGGCTTCCCCTTACCACAAAAGAACATTAAAAGCCTTTATTTCCTCTCAAAAAATTCAAGTCAATCTTTGTAATGCATTTTTTAAACATATATACATAAATTTTACAAATTATATAAGAAATTATGAATTCAAAATTTCACTAAAAAAAATCTAATGGCATAATAATTATATAACACAACAGAAAATTTAATGTTTGCAATAAATCAAATATAAAACAGGCAATCCAATATTTGAAAGTAAAAAAAATATTAAAATTAAAACCGTAATAATAGCTAAGCATTAATTGAAAAATAATAAAATGAAGACTTTGTTTGAGGTGGGAGGGAGGCCGGCTCGAGTGATTTCTGCAAAAGCAAGCAGCATTATTCTACCAGCTACAATCATCCATAATTTCTTGCAAGGCCTGCTTTGTTTTCCTTACTCATTGGTTCAAGACAAGTTATGATATCTTATAAATGGAATATTATGCTATAGATGTGACCTTTCTATTCCACCAAAAATCCGTTTCTCAGATGGAAAGAGTTGAAATCAAGTGATGTGCTTTCTTATTAATATACAATCAAGAATCAAACCATAATTAGATATAGTCACAATTTAGGGAATGATGAAGCTGTATATTTCATCTCAAGAGTCAAGAGAGGTGATGACAATTTGTTTTTGTTCTGGAAAAGACTGAACTGGGCTTTGGATCCAAGGAAGGAAAAGACATAACCTGATACTTTTTATATCTTATCAAAACAAAGGTAAAACTCTTCACTTAAACAAACATTGACGAAAGTAATACTTTTCATGTATCTCAAATTCTAATTGACAAATTTTGTGTCTTGCAAAATTCAAAGTCCTTTCGCATATTTCTATGACATTGCACTATTACAACCTAACTCAACTCTACTCCACTCCTAAACTGTGTTATCCAGTAGAATAATGTGACCATATGTGGCTGGCTAAAATTGACTCCACTTCAAAATCGCGTAAGCGAGTAGAATAATGTGACAAAATGTACCTTATTACTTTTTTTCTTGAATGCTATATCTCATGGGTTTGGTGTGACGACCTAATGAGATATAAAACAAATAATAGTTCATGGAAAAGTGAAAATTGGGTCGGAAAAAAAAAAATTTCGAATGTCCATTTTTGGAGATTTTTGTGTCCATTTTGGGTGTAAACAGTCCAGCGAGCAAAACTTAACATACAGCTTGTTTCGGCCAATTTCATCGTTTAGGCTCTGAAAACTCATTTTTCGTTATTCAGGATAATTTTCTTAATTTTAATTAGATTAGAATTTTAATTCCATTTAGAGTTTGATTTTATTTTTATTCCTATCGTTATCTAGAGTTAGTTGTAATCTACGAGTTAGTTATTATCCAAATTTTATTTATTGCTTTAAATACGAGTTGTAATTAATTTTTATAGGCAGTTGAGTTTTGACCTAAATAAAAAGTTTTGAGTAGTTTCTCAAATTATTCTCCGTTTCTTGGTATTTGATCTTCCAAATCAACGAGTTCAAGTTTCGTAAAATTTTATAAGTTTCAATAAACTTTTGCCACGTCACAACCTATAATCAATAAGTCCCTAGTATCATCTTTCTTTAAGATAGACATTGTTGGATCCGTCCATAACATTACACCAACTAGTGGAAAGGGAAAAGTTCAAAAATCAGGTGATAAGGATGGCACAATTGAATTCTCAGGTGTCAAGTTTAAAAATGCAAAACTCAGATATTAACTAATTAATTAAATATATTTTTTATTTAAATATAATAAGATCACAGTTACACAATTAATGATTACAGATACACAATTATAGGTCACAGGTGATTTTATTGGTCACATATTATCAAATTTATTGGTCACATATTATGTCGAGGTCACAAATAAAAAATTCTACAGATTACAGATTGTTTCGTTGGTCACAGATAAAAAAAATTATAGGTCACAATTTATCTATCGATCATATATTTACAAATTTATTGGTCACAAATTATTTTTTAGTCACTTACTATCGAATTCTAAGGTCACAGTTGAATAGTCACAAATTTTATGGTCACAGTTTATCTCACCCTCCCCCGTCTTGACACCACGCACCACCACCCACAGATCCGCCATCGCCACTTGCAACCACCCTCGCCCTGTGACCGTCCCCAACACCACCATCCGCACCACCACCATCACCATCGTCAATCGTCACCAACATTACTGCCAGTATCCTGTACCAACAATCACCCACGTCACCACTATCACCACCACCACCAACAACCACCCACCTCACCCAACCAGATCTGCAATGCCCATGAAGAAACGCTATCGGCACACACTGCCAACACCACGCCATCACCGTCGCGAACACCCACGCGCGTACACACACACACAACCGCAACCATGCCATCGTCGTCGCAATCTGAGGCACAACCACGACACCCACACACACCCAACTACGACCACAGCCTCACGACATCGCCGTCATGATCTGTGGCACAACCACGTACACCACGCACACCACGCCACCGCCACTAAACGAACTCTCATCTGCTAGCACCGCCACCATCAGCCTCCAATTCCACTGACATCGACGACGTTGCAACGAACTCTCAACAGCTTTGATTCTAGCAGTGTCAACCGAAGCAATTTCTTCATCGTCGAATTTTGCCTCAGATTTTACAGTGAGAGATGAGAGAGGAAGGACCGTTTTAGAGAGAGAAAATAATGGAGAGTTAGGGTTTAGGTGAAAGGAAAATTGATTTAAAATTTATATTTATTGATACCTGATTTATGAATAATGAAAGTTTGCACCTGAATTTTGAATTGTATTCTTTAAATCCCTGCTTTTGTGTAATTTCCTCTAGTGGAAATTTCATAAAAACCTACTTTTAAATATCCCATTTCATAAATCATATGCAAAGTTTATTATTTCAAAAATCAGATTTTTTTAATTTATAATTATAAAATAAAATTAATTATATACCTAACCCACCCATTAATTTATAATTATAAAATTAAATTAATTATGTACCCAACCCAACCCACCACCACAATTTCAATTTCAAAACCTAATTCCTCTATTCTCTCTATCCATCTCCCTTATCCCCTATCTCTTTCACCATCAATAGCTGTCGTCGTCGCCAAGAGAGCTCTGCCAGTAGAAGAGTACGTCGCCTCCAGGCAGCGCCGCCGTGCACGGCGACTATTGCTCTCCCTTGTCTCCTATCTCTCTCACCATCAAGGAACCTTACTGCCAAGAGAGCGTCTGCAGGCAGCAATATTGTGATGATTGCCTGTAGGAAATTTCGATCGACGTTGTGTAGCAGGCATGGTGTTGTGTAGCTACAATGGTGGTGGTGCTATGCTCAGTGGTGGTACTGTTCGGTGTCGATGTTGGGAAATGGGAGGTGTGGTGGTGGTGCGGTTGCGGTGGTTGGATGAGTTGTGGTTGTGGTGATGTACCTTGATGGTGTGCGGTGTGGTGGTGGTGCGGTTGCGGTGGTTGGATGAGTTGTGGTTGTGGTGATGTACCTTGATGGTGTGCGGTGTGGTGGTGGTGCGGTTGCGGTGGTTGGATGAGTTGTGGTTGTGGTGATGTACCTTGATGGTGTGCGGTGTAGTGTTGTGTATTAGCGATGGTTGTGGTGCTATGCCTAGTGGTGGTACTATGATGCGGTGGTGGAAAACGAAAAGTGTGGTGGTGGTGTGGCTGCGATGGTTGGGTGAGTTCTATGCCTGGTGATGTACTGTGATGTGGTGGTGGTTGAAAATGGTGGAGGTGGTGATGGTAGTGATTGTGGAGTCGATAACGAC